CGGGGCGCTGTCCCTCTCAGCGCCCGCGGATGGAGAGCAGCGCCGGACTAGTCGGAGGCGCTCGAGCGTATCTCAGCGTCGGCGGCCGTTTTGCTCTTGGACGTAGCGAGCTGCGCTCCAAAACTCCGGAGCACCACTAGAGGGCTGCAAACAGACCAGAAACCTGCCTTTCTTTGTCGCCCCCCGCTAGTCGTGCAGATTTCTGCAGCCGCCTTCGGGAGTCGCGGTCTTCCCAGTGATGTCTAGCCGGTTTTTCTTTCCCTTAGCAAATCGTGCGGTGCGCACAGCCGAGCTTTCTGGAGGCAGGCGCGGCAGGAGAGCGGTGCGATCTCGCAGTCTGAATGCGGGAGTTTCAACCCGGCGATTTGAGGGTTTCCCGGATTCATTTCTCCTCCCACCCAGCAACACCTACGGGTGGGCAAAGCAGCCCCCGTTGCTCGTCACGTTAGGCAGGGCGGGGTTGGCCATCGTTGGGCGCGCTCTCCCACCCCCGCCTGCTGCCCTCCAATGCGGTCACTAGGATGGGTTTCTCTAAATTGTAATTACAGAAAAGAAGCGATCTCCTAATAGGGTCTCCAGTCCCTTCTTCCGGCTCTTCCCCATTCCTGGAGCCGCGCAGTGCAGAGATGCTGGGCTTTTTAAAAAAAGTTTTTAAGGAGAGGAGTTGAAAAGATGGATTGACTTGATTTGGAAAAACAGCAGTCTGGTTGAAGTTTAAAAAGACTGGTCTTTTAGGAGATTGACAGATTGATGTTAGAATAATGATTAAAAACCCTTAAGCTGGTGTTTCAGGAGATAGCTGGACCCATGTTAAAAGAAAAAAAAGGAAATCAGAGAAAAATACATAGTCCAAATGGAGTTTGCAATATATGTCTTGCTTTATCCAGCCCTGCTTCATCCATCTCCCCTTCCCATTCCCCATTGACCAGAAAAATTGGGATGGGGGAGGGATTGTCGTAGGATTATCATAGGAGATCGAAAGTCCTAAATTTAAAAAAAGAGGAAAAATGAAAAGAAATATCCTGGCTGACGGGCCCACTCTATTCATGGTAGGTATCTGGTCCCCAGCCAAAATGGATGTAAGGGCAGTGCTTAGCATGGAAAGGGCGATCCCACAGTGCTCTGAAGCAGCCAGTGGGAGCTGGTCAGTGACCACAACATCAGTGAAGCCTTGTAGATTGTCTGTATAGCAGGATTTGTGTCAAAAGAAGGAAAACACCACTTGAACAGCAGGACAACGAGAAGCAACATTGGACTGCCTCTGCAGTGGGATGGGTCCCCCCAAAACGGTGAGCGAAGTGCCGTTGTGCTACAGTGAGGATGTGCCCATCACCCAGCCATCGCTGGACTGTGAAGGTTTTCTGCATGACTGATAACCACCACAACAGATGGCTGGATGCCACTATATATTCTGTAGTGTGGAAATTACCTGACTGGAGAGCCTGATAAGATTCGAGATGGGTGCTGATGATACTTTGTGCTGAAGAGTTTTTTCTCCCTCACGAAAGGTGGGTCAGCCTTACAAGCTCACACTGAAGGATTGTTGACCACAACATCCAATAGACACACAGCGGAGTCCATACAACCAGTGCATTGTCCAGTCACCTCTCTGGTCATTGTATATCACTGATGCTGATAGGCTTTCTATTTGTACATGATAAATTTCTAATGTGTATAACATCACAGAAATCTCACCTGATGTGCACACACTATACGGCAGATCTCCAATACCTTCTTCAGTTCCATAGCAGGCAGAAATCCAGTGGATGTGGCTATTCATAGGAAGAGAACCCAAGTGCTATCAACCAAAAGACATTGTGCACTGATTCTATCTGTTCCATCCCAAAAACCCCACAGAGAATTAGTGGGCAAATACAAGTAAGGTCGATGATTACACAGTAAAAGCCTCATCGGGGACGATTCCAAATCTTTCTGTGAGCAAAAACCTTCACTTCCTTTTACTGATTACAGAGTTTGTCAAGAGACCAGCAGGAAAAGAAGTTAATGAAAGAGCTCCAAAGATTAGGCCAAAGGAGATTGAAATTGGAAGATGTGACTTCTAGGTTTCCTACGGGATTTGCTTGTTAGGCCCAGGAAACTGGATTAGCGATAGGGTTGCCTGTTTCATTTCATTTCATCATTTTGGGGTTTTCTCAGCTACAGGACCACAATTCAGGATTAAGCTGTGCTGATCAAACCTTACCTGTGCTGTTTAAGATTCAGTGACCCTTAGATATTTTATTAAACTGGGAGGGTGGGGGGCAGACTCTGTAAAAGGTAATGCAACATACTTCAACTTTTTTACAATGTGATATGCCAGATTTGCTGCACTGGGGTGTCCACAGAGCGTGATAAAAAAGTCAAGATGGCTCCATCTACTGTGTGATTTGCACATATTGTAAAAACCAGGCAAATCTTCAATCACGTCATCCTGCTCTACTAGGACCCTAATTTGTGCCTCAGTCCAGCACTGATTTTAGCAGTTGAGGTAGTAACAACGTAACATAGCTTCTCAGCCTTTTGGCTAAGATCGTGTGTAGAATTTTTTAAAAAATGATTTTAAAAAGTTTGGTGCCCTAGTCAAGGAAAGAAAGTAATGTGAACATTTTGTTAAAAGATGTTCTGTTAGTTGCGTAGAATAAGGAATTTAGGTTTCCTGAAAACATTTTGAAATTACCTTAAGAGCACAATTATTTTAAGCTCTTAATGGTTGCCTGTAGTAGTGTTCACAGGAAGGGGGGTCAAAAGTCAAGATGGCCACAACCATGTGATCAGAGTCCAGCCTTTTAAGCATATGTTGTACACATTAAAAAGGGTCAGGGCTTCAACTGCATGGTTGTGGCAGCCATCTTGACTGTTCTGACTCCTCCTGCAAACACTCCTGCTTTTGTATCTGTCCTATCAAGCCATTCTGAGTGGTTAATGGAAATGTGTATGCCACCATCTTACCTTTATCCCATCCCATGAAATTCTTTAACCAGGATCTATACCTTTTGAAGTCCTAAGCAGTTTCGTTTGAACTCAGAACATGTCCCATTTCCATTAGACAAACGGTGCCCCTTGTGGGGTCAGATGACTGCACCATCTAATATAAGTACTTCACTGAGTGTAGATCAGTGTTTCTCAACCCCAGCAACTTTAAGATGTATGGACTTCAATTCCCAGAATTCCCCAGCCAACGTTCTGGGAATTTGAAGTCCACACATCTTAAACTCGCTGAAGTTGAGAAACGTCGGTGTACAGAAGATAGTCATATGTAATCCGGCTGTTTAAAAGTTGGCAGATTAGATAGTAGGCTTCACCATACCAAGTGCCTTGGAGCATGGTGGTGACCAGGACTTAGTTATCATTGATGAATTTCCATAAAGTTAAGTAACAGTAAGACATTGTGACAATATTATTACTGCACCCTGTTCACATCAGAATGTGACTTACTGATGTGTCTCAACCAACACCAGGATCTGTACAGTGAAGAACTAAAAAAATTACTACTATAGTACTAACTGGAGGAAAAAGATCAAAAACTGGTGATTCAAGTCCATAAGGAAATGAACATGTTGGAGAAGTGCTGAGTCCATTGGTAACAAGAACCCTTCTTCTGGGTGGGCTGGAAGAGTGTTTTTAGAAACACATCTTTCCATATTTCCTTTCAGCGGGGCTAGGACTGAGTATTTTTTGAGTTTTTTTAGATTTTGTATGACTGTTCCATTGTTTAATTGTTTCTTTTTCTTTTTTACCTTGCTGGTCATTGACCATATTAAATACATTTAATCTGAATTTGAAGGAAAGGGCTTTCTACTCAAATGAGCATTCAACTTGTTCTGGGCCTTTTAAAGAATTAGCCAATGCCTGAAGTCCTGGAAGAAAGCCAGGAAATGACAGAATAGGCACTGACTACCCCACTGCTACATCAATATGGAGTTTGCTTTCCATCCTAGTGCGCTATACTAGGTTGGAGTGCAGATAAGCCCTGCGGATTTCTTGCCATCTTATTAACACAGCATTGGCTAATGGGTCTGACTTACTGTTGAAAGCTTCATATTTCATTTATTCTGCACTGGAGGTACTCAAGGATTGATTTATGCATCCCTTTAACCTCTTCCCCTTCCATTTATGCCCCAGTTCCAAATACCCATCAGTCACAGAAAATAACCAAGCTAAAGATCAACACGTTGTCATTTGCATCTTGCGCGGGGCTGCAGACTCATCTTCCTTGGCCATTGCTCAGCTCTTCGTGTTCATTAATTGAATCCTCTTGACAATCTAACTGTAATCAGGGGAGCTAAGGGATGGAGCAGAGAGGTCAAAAGCCAGAATAAAAAGGGGAACAAATACGTTCTAGCTAAACCCATCTTTCTCAGTTTGGGTCTTGCTAGGTGTTTCAGCAACGCATGACCAATTCTGGGAGTTGTTATT